AGAGACAGGGAGAGAGAGAGAGAGCAGAGAGAGAGAGAGCGAGCAGGGAGAGAGAGAGAGAGAGAGAGAGCGAGCAGGGAGAGAGAGAGAGAGAGAGCGAGCAGGAGAGAGAGAGAGAGAGAGAGAGAGCGAGCAGGGAGAGAGAGAGCAGAGAGAGAGAGAGAGAGCAGAGAGAGACAGAGAGAGAGAGAGCAGAGAGAGAGAGAGAGAGAGTTAACAGCTAACCCTACACATGGGAGGGTGAGGTAATCCTGGGGGGGGGTCGCTGAGGGACTTTGTTTAAAGGTGAGGAGGTCGTTCCATGGAGAGGTGTCTTATAGTGTGGAAGAAGACGTTTGTCCTCCTGGTGTTTTCTCTGCTGGCTGAATATTTGGAACGCCATCAGATGGCGAGCTGATCGTTCTTCTAATGGTTATTCAAACCGCCACGACGCCCGCCAACAAATGTTGACGTTCAGGACGCCGTGTTTCATGTTTCACTCACAGGTCTGCTCATCGTCTGCCAAGAACCAACCATTAAAAAGTCCCGTTTACTCTGCCATGTTTGACCAGCTCTCAGAATTAACACCAACGCCGGGGTTGGCGAGGGGGGAGGAGGGGGTGGGGAGAGAGAGGGGGGAGAGAGAGAGGGGAAGAGAGAGGGGGGGGGAGAGAGAGGGGGGAGAGAGAGGGGGAAGAGAGAGGGGGGGGAGAGAGAGGGGAAGAGAGAGGGGGGAAGAGAGAGGGGGGAAGAGAGAGGGGGGAGCAGGTTTTTGGCAGAATAGATTTCACGGGTGTTTCATGCTACATCGCCCTTTAGTGTTTGGTTTGTTATAATGTACATTTATAACGCACGCACGCACGCACGCACGCACACACACACACACACACACGCACACACGCACACGCAGCAGCCCCTCGCTCCTCTGTAACACACACACTGAGGATATACAACGTGTCTGTCAGCGGGGGGGCCATTCAGCCAGGAGGCCTCGACTAAACCGCCACTTAGCCCGCTGCTGGGCTGGCACAAAGGGCTGGGGTCAGAGGTCACCTGGAAGGCTGGAGCTCCCCACACCCTTTTCTCATGCTTTTTTTTCACTCCTTCTCCCCCCCCCTCTTGGAATCTCCTGCCTCCTCCTTCACCCCTTCCCCTCCTGTGTTTTGCAGGTCTTCTGGGCCCATTGTCTGAACGGTCTCTTCCACTCCGTCATCCTCTTCTGGTTCCCCCTGAAAGCCTTCCAGCATGGTGAGTAGCTCCCAGAGTTCTCTCTGAGTCATGACTTACAGACGTGCACACTGACGGGCGTCACGCGTTCTGCTCAACGTGTTTGTATATAAAACAGCTCAGACTCTGCAGGTTCTGTGTGCTCTCTGATTGGCTCTCAGAGAATAGGGATGTGTGAGCTGGCTGGAGCAGAGGACCACACAAGCTCTCCAAACAAAGGCAGCGCGCCCCTTCACTGTGACTGACAGGCTGTCAGCACGCCCAGCGCTCTCCACCCGGGCCGCTCGGAGCCATGTGTCTCGTTCTCTTTGATTAATGAAGAACTTCAACCTTTAATCCGTTAGATTCCAGTGAGATTGAGGAATAATGAAGATTTTTTTTTTTCTTTCCTGTTCTTTATATTTCATCAGTTAATTATCCAGATGTGAAGTCGCTCTGCTCCGCTCTGAAAGATGGATTTATATCCAGAGACAGTCCAGCCTCTCTCACGTCTCGCTGCACTGTCTGAAACACACACACGCCATCAGTAGCCTTCACTGTTATTGTTTTATTTGATAATAAGAAGAAATACTTTTATTAATCTCCAGGAAATTCAGTTTTTACTCTCTGTTTACTGAACATGCTACACGAACATTACACACACATGCACAAACAGGATCCTGTGGGCGTGCATTGATGGGGGGGTCTTGGGGTGAGGGGGGCACCTCTCCAGCTACCAGACCAATTTCCGGACTTGGTCCGTGCTGGGACTTGACCGGCGACCCTCCGATTCCCAACCCAAGTCCCTACAGACTGAGCTACTGCCGCCCCACCACAGGCTGGTCCCATTGAGATCAAACATCTTCTGTCTTTGATTCCCTTCTCAGATACGGTTTTTGGAAATGGAAGAACTCCCGACTATCTCCTCTTAGGCAACATGGTCTACACGGTAAGTCATGGAGTCAAACTTCTTCTTCTTCTGCAACATGTTGAACGAAGCAGAAACCAGACGTTTGATCCATCAGCTTCCTCAATCTGAATGTCGCTGTGTTCTGTCTCCACAGTTTGTGGTCATCACAGTCTGTCTGAAAGCCGGTCTGGAGACCTCGTCCTGGACCATGGTGAGTCCCCGGGTCATCGCTCTGCTCTGTAGCGTTAGGGTTCACCCCCCCCCCCCCCCCGCTGACCTCTGATTCTCCACCAACAGTTCAGTCACATCGCCATCTGGGGGAGCATCGGCCTGTGGGTGGTGTTCTTCATCATCTACTCGTCCCTGTGGCCCCTCATCCCGCTGGCGCCCGACATGTCCGGAGAGGTAATCACAATTCAACCAATTAGCTGAATGTTTGTGTGGCGTTGGCCTCCCTCTGCGCTGAGTATCCACAGGTGACTTCAAACAGTTAACAGCCCCCCCCCCCGCCGTCTTATTCAGCAGGTGATGAAGCTTATCTGACAGGACAGACGGACCCCCCCCCCCGTTAAATATAAGACTAGTAGACAGTTATTTAAGATAGTAGCATGAAGCTGTAAACGGGCTCTGCACCTCTGAAGGTCAAAGGTCAAATCTACTTTGTTCAGTCCACATCACTGTAATCCAGTTTGTGCCCCTAACCCTAAACAAATGAGATTTACGGCGTTAAGACGAGAGCTTTAGAGCTACCCGACGCTAAGCTAAGCTAACTAGCCGCTGGCTCTTAGCTTCACTTTGATCTTACAGCTCCACGACTTCGAGTTTACCGCCGCCACGCTGAGCGACACGGATCCCGTCCAGTTAGAAAAAAGAGGAGGAGCAATGTGGATGAGGTCATGGCGTGGGGAAAGACGCCAACTTGGGATGTCGGTGTTGCAAAGCGAGCTTGAGATAAGTCACGTTATTGTTAGCGTACGTTCGACTGCTCGGCGCCGGCGTGGTCACGCTGAGTGTTGGTTTTCTATTGGTCGGTTACACACACACACAGAGAGACACACAGACACACACACACACAGAGACACACACACACACACACACACACACAGAGAGAGACACACACACACACACAGAGAGAGACACAGACACACACAGAGAGACACACACACACACAGAGACACACACACACACACACAGAGACACACACACACACAGAGATACACACAGAGAGAGACACACACACACACACAGAGAGAGACACAGACACACACAGAGAGACACACACACACACACAGAGATACACACAGAGAGAGACACACACACACACACAGAGAGAGACACAGACACACACAGAGAGACACACACACACACACAGAGACACACACACACACACACACAGAGACACACACACACACACACACAGAGATACACACAGACACAGACACACACACACACACACACACACAGAGAGACACACACACACACACACACACACACACAGAGACACACACACACACACACACACACAGAGATACACACAGACACAGACACACACAGAGAGACACACACACACACACACACAGAGACACACACACACACACACACACAGAGAGACACACACACACACACACACACACACACAGAGACACACACACACACACACACACACAGAGATACACACACACACACACACACACAGAGAGACACACACACACACACACAGAGAGACACACACACACACAACACACACACACACAGAGACACACACACACACAGACACACACACACACACACACACACAGAGAGACACACACACACACACACACCACACACACAGAGACACACACACACACACACACACACAGAGATACACACACACACACACACACACAGAGAGACACACACACACACACACACACACACACACACACACACACACACACAGAGACACACACACACAGAGAGACACACACACACAGAGAGACACACACACACACACACACACACACACACACACAGAGACACACACACACACACACACACCACACACACACACACACAGACACACACACACAGAGATACACACACACACACACACACACACACACACACACAGAGATACACACACACACACACACACACACACACACAGAGACACACACACACACACACACACACACTAACAGGGGATGAGTACATTCTCTCCCCTCCACCCACCTGGTGAAGTCTGTCTCTTTCATCCACGCCCTGCAGCTCTTGACTGAAGACAGTAATGGCGTCCTGTGGGTAGTCGGTAACCCGACGCTCATGTCAGTACATCATCAAACGGGGACACATCTGTGTGACACCTGAGGAGGCATCAGAGACTCCACCTGAGGAGGCATCAGAGACTCCACCTGAGGAGGCATCAGAGACTCCACCTGAACCACCTTAAAGAAGACCCGGACCTCCTCGCTGTGAACTTGAATCTTTAAATATGTTCTCTCTCTCTTCCTCGTTGTTCACTCTGCCAGCTGAAAAACTGCCCGAGGACTCAAACCATAACAGAGAGCCCCCCATAACAGAGAGCCCCCCCCCCCGCTCCTGTTTCTGCTCACACTCAGCGCCCTGAACAAGAGACGCTGCGCAGCGCTCGGCTTCATGTGAACGCATTCATCAATGTCAGGCTGCATTTTCATTGGACGATTGACAAGACAGGTGCAGGATCAATCTGAGAAACACTGAGAAGGAGACGTTACAGTCCTGTACCCGGAGACTTTACAGTCCTGTACCCGGAGACTTTACAGTCCTGTACCCGGAGACTTTACAGTCCTGTACCCGGAGACGTTACAGTCCTGTACCCGGAGACTTTACAGTCCTGTACCCGGAGACTTTACAGTCCTGTACCCGGAGACGTTACAGTCCTGTACCCGGAGACTTTACAGTCCTGTACCCGGAGACTTTACAGTCCTGTACCCGGAGACTTTACAGTCCTGTACCCGGAGACTTTACAGTCCTGTACCCGGAGACGTTACAGTCCTGTACCCGGAGACTTTACAGTCCTGTACCCGGAGACTTTACAGTCCTGTACCCGGAGACTTTACAGTCCTGTACCCGGAGACTTTATAATCCTGTACCCGGAGCCTTTTACAGTCCTGTACCCGGAGACTTTACAGTCCTGTACCCGGAGACTTTACAGTCCTGTACCCGGAGACTTTACAGTCCTGTACCCGGAGACTTTATATCCTGTACCCGGAGCCTTTTATAATCCTGTACCCGGAGACTTTACAGTCCTGTACCCGGAGACTTTACAGTCCTGTACCCGGAGACGTTACAGTCCTGTACCCGGAGACTTTACAGTCCTGTACCCGGAGACTTTATAATCCTGTACCCGGAGACTTTACAGTCCTGTACCCGGAGACTTTACAGTCCTGTACCCGGAGACTTTATAATCCTGTACCCGGAGACTTTACAGTCCTGTACCCGGAGACTTTACAGTCCTGTACCCGGAGACTTTATAATCCTGTACCCGGAGACTTTACAGTCCTGTACCCGGAGACTTTATAATCCTGTACCCGGAGACTTTACAGTCCTGTACCCGGAGACTTTATAATCCTGTACCCGGAGACTTTACAGTCCTGTACCCGGAGACTTTACAGTCCTGTACCCGGAGACTTTATAATCCTGCTCATGATTGATAAACTCCTCAACACATGGTTGGTGTGTTAGCGGACCACAGAGAACAGAATTAGTGCAAACAAGGATTTAAATCAGCTGTAAGTCACGAGAGAGTCTGCTGAGTGTTTATGTAAAGACTTAACGTCTCGCTGTGTTTCCTAACTCACACACACACTCACACACACACACACACATACAAACAGAGAAACCGAGTCTCTGTTTGACCTCTGTCTCGTGGTTATTGGCCGATTTGTCTCATAAGAAGAACTTTTTAAAACTTCTGTTTATTTGCTTTTTTTGATCGAGGTTTCTGTTTTCATGTCAACAGCGTCTGACTCCTCCACGCTTTACTACCTGTTTAATACCTTTATGGGCGATGGATGGATGGATGGATGGATGGATGATGGTTGGATGGATGGATGGATGATGGATGGATGGATGGATGGATGGATGATGGATGGATGGATGGTTGGATGATGGTTGGATGGATGGATGATGGTTGGATGGATGGATGGATGATGGTTGGATGGATGGATGGATGATGGATGGATGGATGGATGATGGATGGATGGATGATGGATGATGGATGGATGGATGATGGTTGGATGGATGGATGATGGATGGATGGATGATGGATGGATGATGGTTGGATGGATGGATGGATGATGGATGGATGGATGGATGATGGATGGATGGATGATGGATGGATGGATGATGGTTGGATGGATGGATGATGGACGATGGATGGATGGATGGATGGATGGATGGATGATGGTTGGATGGATGGATGGATGGATGATGGATGGATGGATGATGGATGATGGATGGATGGATGATGGTTGGATGGATGGATGATGGACGAGATGGATGGATGGATGGATGGATGGATGGATGATGGTTGGATGGATGGATGATGGTTGGATGGATGGATGGATGATGGTTGGATGGATGATGGATGGATGGATGATGGATGGATGGATGATGGATGATGGATGGATGGATGATGGTGGATGGATGGATGATGGATGATGATGGATGGATGATGGATGGATGATGGATTGATGGATGATGGATTGATGGATGATGGATGATGGATTGATGGATGATGGATGGATGGATGATGGATATGGATGATGATGGATGGATGGATGATGGATGATGGATATGGATGGATGGATGAATGGGATGATGATTGGATGATGATGATGGATGATGATGGATGGATGATGATGATGATGATGGATGGTGGATGGATGGATGATGGATGATGGATTGATGGATGATGGATGGATGATGGATGGATGATGGATGGATGGATGGATGATGATGATGGATGATGGATGATGATGGATGATGGATGATGGATGGATATGGATGATGGATGGATGGATGATGGATGGTTGGATCCCAAACAGGAATAGTTGAGTGACAGCAGCAGGTAATCAGAGTAAATAAACCCTGTAGATATAAATTAATGTAAACTTATAAACATTCAGGATTTAGTGGAACATTTTTCATAAAGACTCCAATAATGAAATGATAAATATAAAACCATGTGAAGGTTCTATAAAGTGTATTAACATAGAGAGTATAAAAACCAGTACTCTGCATGGAGGTGTGCAAACAGGCTCACCTGTCAGACCGAAGTCTGTATCTGCTGTGTTGTCAGCCAATCAGAGAATGAGCAGGTAAAGTCTCAGACCAGGTTTAGTTTAGTCCATCCCCGCTCCGCTCCGTCGGCTTCATAAAAA